GCCAATGGGTCAATGAAGTCTCAACTTCTCGAACCAGAAGTTCATATCCTTCTGTACCGACCGCGTAGGTTTTCAAGCAGTGCATTGAGCGCTCCCCGAACTGTATGGAATCAGCATAATTCCCCAGCAATGCGTGAGCCTGTTCGTTTTCGGATAGCAAAATAAATTTGGCAACAGGATCCGTGATACACATGGAACGTGAACTGTGATTACGATTAATGATGGACAAGTCGTTTGTAAATGTAGCATATTTTTTATTAGACACCCTAGTATAATGAACAGCAGACAGGGTAAACCCAATAGTCACGAAGATTTACTGTACAGTGATGGAAACCAGTAACCTAAGCCCCGCGGGACTTGGAGTGGCAAACCAAGTAAGACCCAGTCGTTATGTCAGATGCGATATTGAACCGGAAGACATCAACGCTACCCACCACCAATCAACTATCTCAGTATTCTAATACATTTGAGCCTTACAAATAAGTCACAATATAATTAATGGAATAAAAAATGGATTACTTGCTTTTGAAAACTAGAAAAGCATACGCGGTCATGTGTTAGAACCGCAAATAGGTATGTACAGAATACGAGCATCTTATGTTGAATGCAAAGCTAAAGGCGTTCTACCGAGAAACCGGTAAAGGACAAACCGGTTCTCCAGCACGCCCTTTGTTCCCTACTGGCTTCATCGGTATTAACAGCAACTTCATTGTGAATCTTCAGTGGAACTGTCGGTAACAACACACCACATGACCGTTGCCTTGGGTGTTTGTAGGTCAACTCACAGACTGAGTGAGATTTCTTTCCCGCTCCCATATATTTGTTCGACCAATCCCATGGAGATTATTCCCCTTTTCTTTTTCACGTTTGTCCTTCAATTGTGCCTCCACACAGCAGTAATCAATCAGTTCCATATGGCACCGCTTCTTATCACCGTTAGATGGTGCTGATTGAGGATAGTCGCTTATTGAGGACTTCAGATGGGATATCGCCAATTTGCCATACATAACACAAAACATCTCATCAGAAACATACCATCGCCGTTCCTGGCGGCACATCGAATAATGTATAGGGCAGCCGGTAGTTATTCCTTCAAACTCATCGCTTGGCACTCGGTGATCTTGTTATATTTTTGATCATTGAAAGGTACCTTTTAGCCTTAAAACAGGCATGCCTTATCAAACCCTTTTGAATAATCAGCCTGAACTTTCTGTTAATGGTAATACCATCCCTAAAGCTAACTCTGTGAAATATCTACGAGTTACTTTATCACACAATCTTTCTTGGTCTAAACATGTTGAAAAAAATTGTATTCGGGTTCGTAAGCTATCATTCTACGCCTTTAGGCTTAAAAAGCTCGGTGTTCCCTCAAATGTCATTCTTAAATTTGTGACTGCCTGCATTCTTCCACATTGGTTGTACTGGTCCCCCGTATATTTTCCTGGTTTGAAGGAGAAATACTTTATTCTCTATTCCAGATCTCTTAAACTTCTTTATCGTTGCAGCGGCATTTCAAAGACCGTTTTGCTTGACTTTATTGTGAGCAAGCATTTTGACTCATGCGATCGATTTATCAGCCATATCCTGTCCAACGAAGAACACTGCCTGCACTCCCATCTCAATAATTCGGTCTCTCATCCGAGTACCCGTTGCCAATTTCGGATTATGTATGCACGCACCACCACACAAAAACAGCATGATCCCTTATTTTGCTCGCATCTTGATCAACCGAGCATATATTATTGCTGACTTGAACAATCATCTCTCACATTAGGATTTTACGTAAACCCGTCTGTTTGTTATTTAGTAAATGTATATTTTTTCTTTTTCCAATACTTAACGTTTTCCCCCTACTTTAACAGGTCGAAAATGCTGAAAATTCATCCTATCGGGTGCATAAAGCTTTACTTGATTTGACTTACTACTCACAGGTGAGTAGTATCTCACAACACTAGTAGTTCAATAAACTTTTCAAACGTTTGCCATGTTCCCGAAAAGTCCACTGATATGAAAGGGCGCATGAAAATAAAAGCGACACTGCGATCTCTATATTATTGCACATCCATTAATCAAGCTGCAATATCAGCTTTAAGTTTGTACAACCATTGTCACCACGCACTTTCGTGCGCCAGTTTTAGTTGCTGCCTTTTGGACGCCCATTTGGACGAACAGTAGGAGATCCCCAGTCAGGGAGCCTAACGGGATTCATGTGACCTACTCTTCCGGTTATGGTTTTCATACCCTCGTACCAGGTCCTAGTTTGATCACCCACTACCTGCCTCGGCGAACATCGCTCGCCCTGGCAACCTATCTGGTGACATGCGTAACACATGCCCCAACCAGCGTAATCTATGGAGGTCGACCACTTGCTCCAGTGGGCGACCGCGATTACCTCAAACTGTACACCTAACGTCGTCCGGTTACCCCACCACATTCATGCAACAGTGCATAGACAGCGGTGTTCAAACACCAACAGTCTATCTTTACCCTGTTTTCTCAATGGCCAAGTTTCTGCACTGTGGAGCAGCACTGGCCGAACTGCCGCGGCATCATACACTCGACCCTTCAAAGAGAGCCGGATGCCGCGACATCGCCACATATGTCGCAAGTCACCGAAAGCCAACCGGGCCTTCTGTGTGCGAGCTGACACTTCATCCGTGATGCGTCCACCGGGTGAGATGTAGCTGCACTTGGAATGCGCATCTAGAAGCGAGATCCGTTTCCTGATGTGGTGCAAAACTTTTATCACGATAAGAAAATAAATACACTTTGTACTTTTATTTAACGAAGTACAGCGAAACAGATCCAATTTACAGCGATGATGGCAGATGGTAACCTAAACACGGGAGCCTAGGTTTGTGAATTGCACAAGGCCCCAAAGTCACATCTCAGATGCACACGAACAGAACTAAATAGATGAACCACAAATAACACTTAACATCATTTTATTTGTATGACGGGTTGGTAAAAAAAAAACAGATTAAGAATGCGGATTTACTTTGGCCAAACGGAACCAGCTTTTCGCATAGGTCGGATCTAGCTCGGTAGCCCGGGTGCAATATTCCACACAAAGCAACACCATCTGTCGTGCGGAATCGCTCAGCACACCGTTCGTGTGATTCACATCGGACGAGGCATTCATCAGGGAGACCAAATGTAGCAGACATAGGGCGGCATTGGAGAAGCACAACACAAGCAACTGTCGAGCCTCGTTCGACTCCGCTGGGACATTGGTCAATGGTGTATCGCGGCTGACGGGCGGTTGGACAATGACACTGCCTCGGAGAAACCCGATGCCAAGCTTGTAGGTGCGAAACGCGCGGACATATTGTTTGGCCTATGCGGAAGGAATAGAACAGATGTGGGGATTCAGTCCGGTAGCATCAGCTGCGTTGCAACATATACGGATAAACTTTGGTCTACAGAGGGGTTAATGAGGACAAGATAACTAAAGATACCATTGTTATAAAAGAAACGTGAACATTGACGATGGGGTATCAAATGCACGTAATTGATATGACTCGGTTGTAAATGGCTGCAGGCGACCGACACCATAGTCATACGAGGGTTCTCATTTCATACCCAATATAAATCGTAAGTAAGCAATTGGTGACCATCGAATCAAGTAATATTGACGGCGTGAAGGGCTCAAGGTACCCACCGATAGTCGTGCACTTATTATTGGACACATTGGCAGTCCACAGTGGTTGGTCATTACTCACAGAAGTACGAATTGAGTCTTCAGTCTATGGTCTTTGTTTCGCTCTGCCACTTTGTGGATTAGGCTTCATGGGTTTCGGGGTGTAAGCACACAAGGAGAAATCGACTGATACCGCAGACTGAAAGACCTAGCTGGAATGCATTTATTGTTCCATTCGTCAAACGAATCGGAAATACAAGACCCGTATAATTTACAGTAGGAAGAAATTTAGTGAGACATTTCAGAAACGTGAACAACGTTGCCTTCTAACTGATTCATCCATCTGAATACCTCATTCTCCTTATCATGCCACCTACTAGCAATCTTCCACCTACTTTGTGTTATGGAGGAGCAACGGAGAACAGAACAATAATGTTAATGTCACACAACACGCAGTCACGGAAAATAAGCGATGTTTGGAGTACTGGCGAATTGTCGTATGGCGACACGTGTGCAACAGCAAATTCACAAATGTTCACAGTAAGAATTGAACTGTGTGCGTCTTGGATCGATCACCTAGCCTCTGGCTGAGCAAGAGCTAGAAGAGGGACGATCGCGGGGGAAAGGTTTTTGGTTCCTGTCTTCCCATTTGGTCTAACGACGAGAACCGAGCAGATAGAGTTTAAAAGCTGAAAAATACAGAAGGCACGTGAACTAAATTTGTGCAGAAAGTGGGAAGATATACTGAAACCACGGTCTACGATGCTCATTCACAAGACTGACGAGGTCAGTCATGCGGTCACCAAGAAGAGTAAGGGGACCTTTACGGGAGAAAAACCTGCTGGTTTGTATTCTGAGCAGCTGTGTCGTTCTTCCATCCACTGCAAGTTTCGGAAGCCACTACATGTCAAGTAAACCTATCCAGTGACATGCGTAACATACCTCAGCTGCAATAATCAATGGAGGTCAAGCGCTTACTCTGGTGCTGGATTGCCATTACCCAAAACTTTTCGTCTAACCTCTGCAATGCCCCTGCGGTTTCTTCAACAGACTGTTGCAATGCACTATACACGGCAACGTTCAAACCCCGATAGGCTGTTTTCAACCTCGTCAGACAACAACTGTCTCTGTGCTATCCAGTATCGTTAAACTCACAGCGGCAGCATACACCTGAACTCTACTTCACTTTTCCCATAAGAAACTAAATTGGGAAGGACTTGGGGTGGCCAAAACCGCTTCCCCCAAAGCATTAAATCCCGGTCGTATTGAGTTCAGTGAGGAATCTCATTCAGGAAGCCTAATTTCAATGTTGCTGACTGTGGCATTTGTCAACGTCAATTATGCCATCGATCAATTCTCCGTCCCACTCGCCGGTGCTTATCTCTCAGACGAAGATCAGTGTTTACGTCACCCACATACACATTCACACACGCGGGCGCTCACCCGCTCGCATACGCACACAGACACCACGGCTCATTCCTATTGGTTGACCTGTTGGTCATTGTCCTATTGTAGATTATCATGTGACGCAAAATTCATTCAGTAAAGTTACGTGCTCTGTACTATACGTCTTCTGTGCCTTGTCCTCCGGGCTAACTACGGTTTAGCTTGGTTGCGACTGTAACACTGACTTGATAGTCAGCAGAGAACCGTACCCAGGCTAGCACCATTGTATCCTTGGCCGTAGACAGATGCCACAGGGTGTGGCGTGTCCTAACTTACGCCAAGTGACCGCAAAACTAATTCGAACAGAGAGGGGATAGAAAAAACTCTTGGTGCATAGTTCTGTACAGATTCATGTACTATTACTAATAACAATAACACGATTTGATCAAGTTACTGCCCCTGAAGCGCGCTTAAGTTGTTGACCTACCTCACGAAAAAGAAATGCCAATGTGAAATAACAAAATAAAAACTATGTTCAACTCCCTTGACGAACGCATGTGTCCGTGCAACTAAAAACAGGACCATTTCGAAACCAGCCACACATCGAGTATTATCATTGCTTGAAATGACCACGGCTTTGAGCACAATCTTACCTTGACAAGTTTATTCCCCCGCCGTTTCATGACCCCAGTCATGAGTAATTTTTCCGATTCGGACATCTGCCAAAATTTTTTTATCTTCAAACATACTGTCGAAATCATCGTGTATGTATGCTTACTTTTTGTATATCGTGCAAGCGAAACGTTAGAAATAATTCATCTTGTGGTAAGCATGTGTCAACGCCCCATTGTTTGCGTTCTGATTCAGTGAGAGCCACGGAGACGGGAACGGAAACCGTGCACTGTTCACCGAGGCCCATCGTCTCCACGACATGATCCACAAATTTGACAGCACCAAAATCTTCTGCGTGTCCCAGGTCAAAAGTCAGCACTTGACCGGCAATTTTGACCTCTCCGTTCAGCTGGACAGCAAGCTGTACAACAACGCGATCGTGTTCGCGCGGTTTGTCACAACCCGTTTCAATGACGATTTTGTGAAATTTAGGCATGATTGTGCGCATCTACAACCGTAGACAAAACAATTAAAAAGAGTTTAAGGCGATACATAATTACGTATTTGTACCATGCTTTATGCTCAGTTCGGTCTAGTACCGGTCATAGTACAGGGAAACAACCAATCGTTTATTTGTGAGCGGTACTTCTAGCTTCCCAAACCAAACCAACTGATGTCTTTAGGAACTCACAAGCGGAGCTTTCGGTTAACTAAAGGCTTACGAGAGACATGAGTCTTAGAAACGACACGGTTGCTGGAACCCCAAGTGGTGATTTGTCCAAGATCGAAAGTGACGCAGACTAATANTATATATATATATATATATATATATATATATATATATATATATATATATATATATATATATATATTCACACCCGTCTGAGTTCAGACTGAACCAAAAAAATCGTGGTACAATATTTTTTATAAAGGAAAAAAGTTCCACGATTTGTATGTGGGCCGGATACTGCCAGGTTGCCCAGGCCAAGGCAGGGAGCCTTCAGCTAACCAAAACCTGACCCACAAAGCAGCAGGGCGGGTGTGGTTCGTACGCCTCCTCATGGTTGGTTTGGAATCAGGATTTCTGGCCAAATCCGCCCGCGTCGCAGGCATTCAAACGATAAAGTACAAAGATCATCCCAGAGGAAATATCGAGATTTAGACCTGGTAAAAAGAGCGACTACGTGCTCAAAGACGTCATGAGTACAACGCTATTGACCATGATCTCAACTGGATTTGTCTGGGGCACGGACGGAGTGCAGCTGATCAGCGCTTATTGCCAGGATGTCACTTAAAACCCTTTTTCTAACAGACTCGGGAGAGATTCCGGTATAATTAATTTAGAGTATCGTAAAACCAAATGTTGAGAAAAGGAAGATGGTCTAGTGATAATGCTTTTTTCATATCAGAATGTTTTCAGACTGAGTGCAAATTAAACGCAAAAAGAACGACAGACTGATATAGGAACGATAAAATAAAATACAAATGGAAATAGATTGTGTTTTGTTGTACAGAACGTTTACTTATTTTTAATGTCGACCTTTGAGATAGAAACTGATGGAAAAACGAATACAATCCCCCCACTGGGTTCCGTTTCGAAGTATATCAACTGGTGTCGCTATACATCTGTCCTAGCAAAACTAACTGAAAAGGCAATCGAGATCGGCCTTTTGATCACACAAGTGAATAGAGTAAATGGAGTAAGTCTCATAATCCAAGGATATACTGCACTAGACTTTGAGTTGTAAGTTGGAGGGAAGGCAAAAAGGGGGAGTGTTCCACAGTTGTGCTGTTCTCGGGAAAAAGATGACTGAGAGCTAAAAATGGGACATATTAGGGATAGTCACTTGGAATGAGTGACTAGCCGCTTGTATAGGGGACATACAAGCAAGAAATAAAGGGAGAGGGGAGGAAGACGCAAGTTCGTTGGAACCAACAACAAAATGGTATCAGTATAA